TGTAACGAAAATCCCCACTCTCGCCCTCCCCGATCTTCCTTATGTTCCTTCTCGCCTCAAATTAGGTAGATTTTCGACCCTCACATTTTCAGTTACATTTCTCTGATATGTACATAAACGGAGTGTTGATTACCCGTAAATTCACACCATATATGGGAAGGGAGAAGAGAGACAAATCGAAAGTGAAAGGTTTTGAACTTTACAAATAGAGAGAAAATGCTACCGGATTTGATTGCCTCAAATTTTTGGATATTTATGAGCTTGAGTTGGTATTCATTACATTGCATAAGTGGCTACATATATGTTCTATAAAACCAAAAAAAGAGGAAGCTGTGATTCACGGCTTGATAGATTGCTTCCTGGAACATGCATTATACAGAGCATGGTGTGCTGTGCCATTGCGGGTTCTAAATTACTGGATAAAAATATCCTCTTTCCTCCATATCAAATTTTGTTTAATCAATCAAATTGAGAGGGGTTCTTGGACTATGCATTATACAGCATGGCGTGTTGTGGCATTGGGGGTTCTAAATTACTGGATAAAAACATCCTCTTTCCTCCATATCAAATTTTGTTTGATCAATCAAATTCAGAGGTTCAATTATAATATAATTGGGCAATTACATACATACCACTCAATTCATATGCAATTTTTCTTATTAATTTACTTGATTATACAGTTTTGTTACAAACAGCTTGATAGGATGGTCATTTATCCAGCAACAGCTGTCAATAAACTATTCTTTATAAGCTCCCCAAACAACAAGCCAGTTTATTTTGATGATCTGCAGGTTATCAGATTATCAAAATAATTTGTTTATCAGCAGATTATAAATATTCAACAGTTATCCCAAACATACCCTAAATCATCTTCAAATAGCGAATGTCTTATTGAACTCTGTGGTGAGATTTACATCAAACCACACTATGAAACTTCAGAGGTAGATCGGATAGCAACACGTAGTTGTGTTTATAGATGATGAGACCACCCACAACTTTATATCTACTCAAATAGCGAATAAATTGGAGCTTGAGAAGGTGGACACAAGAAATTTTGGAGTCATGAAAGAGACATGATAGGTGGAGAAGATAAGAGGAGTTTGTAAGAAGTGATTTTAACAAAACCAGACATGCAGATGATGGAAGATTTTCGTCCTTTGGATTTAAGGAGCACTGACGTGATATATTGGGTATGAAATAGTTACGATCCATAGAGGAGACTAAGATGAAATGGAAATTTTTAATCATGGAGTTTCAAGAGGGAGATAAGATGATAGTGCTTCGTGGTGACTAATTTGTGTAAGGCCCTGGTGTCAGTGGATTCATCGAAGGTGGTGGATAGGCTGGAGGGGCCACTACCTAAGAATTAGAAGAGATTGAGAAGGTTTATGGGACTTACATGATTCTACCCAAAGTTCGTGAAGGGTCATAATTCGATTGTGTGGTCGTAGACGAAGAAAGTGAAAAATGATTACTTTCAGTGGATGAAAGTGACGACCCGGACTTTTGAGTTGTTAAAGAAGCCCATGACGAGTGTGTTCGTATTGACAACGAGAATCAAACTCTAACCAGTTTAAGAACGGTAGCCACACAACTTAATACATCAGCTGGTTTTCCCACCTTGAGAATAGGGTGTATTTTTGGGAGGGAGTATTATCATACTAGTGCCCAACCTAAGAGCAATTGTGTCTCTTATTAGCCTAAGGACAATTCAGTCTTATTATTTATGATTGTTAGGTATAAATAAAGCTTAATAGTTTAAGGTTAAGTAGTTTAAGGTTAAAGTTATACATGATATGAGGTATTGTATCTTAACATTAAGGTTTGGGAGAGATTTTCTACCTCTTAAATTGCAGGTGTTTATTGTTGTATTCATCTTGGATGTTTGATATTACTGTAATAAAATATGTGTTTACCCTAATTCTGTGGGAAAATATTTCTCGAATCCTATCAAGTATATAAAAGAGTTAGCTAGAATCTATCGGAAAAAGAGGAAGAGATACAGATGAGTACGAGAGAGAGAAGAAAAACCTTAATGTTCAATATCCATTCAATTGGGCCTTTCATGCAGCCTAAAGCACCTTTATATGAAATCAGGGTTTAAGGCCATTAAAATAACTTAGAATAATACATTTAACACAAGAAACATACTTAAAACATGCATAAAAACTATGGACACATGCCTAAAAACCAATAACTGTGATTCATTTGATTATGATGATTCTGCTTCAATATCATACAAATGACTAATGAATGATACAATGATATAATGTAAATAATAAAATGCAAAAGACAAATATTATTGCTGTAACTAATTTTATGACATGGAGGTGTTTAAGAAACTTAAAAAATTAAACCACGCAATTGTGATGTGTTTATTTGAATGAGTCATTTATTTAAAGAAAAATAACCTATATAGAATACTTCATAATACATGATTTGTTCATATTTACAGTTAGAAATAAATTTAATTTCTATCAAAAGTTTAGGTTCAAATAAGACATCATACTCAATTTTAGTTTAAAACTCAAATACTATCTCTAGATCAATTATTAATTCGTGCAATAACGTAGATGTAAACTGAAATTTAAACAAATTAAATGTACAATCAAACAAGAGCTTTGAGGCATCCAGCTCATCATCAAAAGAATTTTAATGAATTTTAGTATCTTCAATAGAATTATATTCAATGATGATGTGTTTAATAAACTTTAAATGAGATGTATAGAGTTTAGGTGATGTAGTCTTCATAAAATAATGTTTGTGTATAAGGCATCATGTAGTATTATTGGAAAATTATTTCTTAATTTGTCCTTAATTTCCCGTTTAAGATCATTAATGAAATAAATAATAACAAGATTTTATAAGGAAATTTAAAATTTGAATACAAAATTTTTAAACCTTAAAAAAGATATTCAAATACAGCATATTGTCTTGCTTACAATTCTCAAATTGATCATGTAATAAGCTCATATATTCACTGAATGACAAATATTATCCATTAAGTTTATCTTTTACATTAAATCATATGAATTTAGTAATAAGTCATAGTCAAAGTGAATGAGCATGTTTCATTTATTTTTTTCAACTTTTTGAGAATTAATAAAATTATAAAGTTAAAAAAAACTTTCAACTTATTGATTCTAAATAAAAATAACCTAAAAAATATACCTCGCATCATTGTAAGAACATGGTTATGAATCTTATAATAATCATACTGTAATTCTCAAGAATTATAACCTACTCAATTTCATATAAATTGCATAATGGTATTATGTTTACAATTGATTCTAGTATTATGTTTTTTAGTTGATATGACAACCTTAAGCCTTGAAATCAAATCTAACATAAGACACCTTAGGGCCTAGGATTTCCTTATGCAGCATATGATTTAATACACTTAAATCAAGCATACGGAATCAACACTCACAAACAATAGTTCACATCCTTTGATCAAAACCTATTAAATACATAAAATGCATACAAGCAATAATCTAAGGGTAAACTAAAAATAAATTTAACATATTAGTTCAGACTCAATTAAAATCATATGTCAATTGTAAAACACACCGATAATAATATTGTACAAGTTTTCATAAAATTCAATTATGTAGGTTAGCCATAACAAAATCACAAAATAAAAAAGAACATGGAATAATTCACAGAAAAAGTAATCCATACCTCAAAACGGTACAAGAAGATGACTTACTAAGAATTGGGCATTCTAAACATGCACCACACTAAAAGTATTCACATTCCACCAACATTCAAGCCCCCACACAAAAAAAAAGAAGAAGAAACTCAAAATAATGGATTTTGATGGAACTGATTTATGTGCTTCAGGTTCTCCTTTAACATAATCACAAAATAAGGCCAACAATCACAACCCAACCAAAAATCTCACCGCTGAAGATATAAGTGAAACAACATACTAAGACAGATAATCAACAAAACATACTCGTAGGAATGCTAACAAAGGTAGAAATCAGGAAATCCTGTGAAACTACCAATTCGTGAGCCTTTAGTCAAAAAAGCAGAAGACCCAATATAATATGGGATCATGCTTCCAAACAGAGCCCAATAGAATCTAAACTAAAACTAAAAGCCCAAATCAGGGCAAATCAGGACGAGAGGATTGAATTAACAAAGAACTAGTGGTTATAACAACTATAAGACAACTTGAGAATTGAACTAGGGAAGAGAACAGAACCTATTCTCCACAGAGATCTTTACAAGCATGATTACGTCATATAAACAAATATAAAATAAATAAGAAATCTACAAAATACAAATGAAGTAAAATCATAGTTCAAAAAGTCAACTTCCATCATCTCAACACCCACATCCTGGGATTTTGATAAATACAAACTCTTCTCTCTAAAAAAACATAGCTCAATAATTTCTCTAACTTCTATTGCCTTATCCCAGAGTAGAATCGTTGCCCTTCTCCCTACATCTATTTAACAAATATTCAACAACCAAAAAAAGTCCTTTACTACCTCAAAATTCTTCCTTTGTACCTAATTCTTTCACAATTTACCCCCATCCCCCCATTTTAATCCCCTTCCCTTTAACCCTCAAACCACAAAATAAAAATATATATATATACTAGTAGTTTGTTCATCTCAACTATATGGAGAGGATAGCGCAAGGATGTAAACATAAAGTTATTTTTAATTCATTAGATTTTTGCATCCTTCATAACATTTATCAACAGACCTCTATTTTTATGAATAGTGATGATCAATGGCATGCCTAAACTTAGTTCAAATATATCACTTCATGTTTGATCACAACAATGTATCAGTTTCTTTTTTTCTTTTCTTTTTTTTTTTTGTCCAAGAGAGAGAAAGTGAGCTATTAGTATTTGAAGAATTACACCCTCCAGTTGTTTCTTAAATTTAGAACATAAAAACACTGGAGTGCTAACAGAAGAAAGTACTGTGATTGGTTTAGAAAGGTATAACTAGTAGAAAGTAGACACACATAAAGAAACATACCATCTTTTCTCATCTCAGGCAGTAAACCTGATGCGTGTTTCTCAACAACCTTCAAGTATCCATCAGCCTCATGCTCAGAAACATTGAACAGAACAACAGAGCCATATTGGAATACAATCATGTAGTGACATTTACTCTCATTTAATGAACCAAACTCAACACCCTGAAACATGGCAATTCAAAATTAAGCTCTATATTAAGCATTAAGAAACTTAGCGAACCTTGAACCATAACATCACCTAAAAAACTTACAAGTTAAAATCTACAAGCTTGTAAAGAAGCAAGTGGAATAACAAAATTTCTATCATATACCATCGTCAATATCTAATAAATTATAACCTAAACACTACCTAACAGCTAAAACGGATGACCAAAAAAAGAAAGATCATTATGATTGCATTGATAAAAAAGAAAAAACTGAACCAGCGAGCAACAAAAAATGGCTCTTTATTGAGAGCAGAACAGAACCGCCCACATGGTAGTGTAAGGAGAAGCCCAAAAAAAATCCTGCATTCAAATTCAGGCTGAACCAAGCCCACAAGCCCAAAAAACAATCCTGCATTCAAATTCAGGCTGAACCAAGCCCACTAGATAGGGGCCTCATAACGTTGAATACTCCATAACCAATACTACCATCGAGTGCACCGAAACCAATACAACTACTAAGTACACACCCGACATTGGAATGCAAGTGCAGCCAATTGAATGTTCATGGTCTACTACTTCGGCCCAATACTACAAAAAATAAGATTAAGAGTGATGTAAAACATAATTGACATGTCATCACCAGCTTTATCTAGACCAGCCAAAATCGGGTAGGTCAGCATCTACCATAATAAGAATATCTATACAAGAAAAGTACAATCTAGTGTTGTTTTATTTGAGTAAACTTATGCTTTATGAATGATCCATTAAAATTTCTTTTGAATCCTTGGATGTCAAAATCCTCCTTGTAAAAAAGAGGTTGTTTGTATGAAGGAAATCAACTCATCAGTATTGAATCTCTCCCTCCCGGTATTTAGAATTCTCTATCTTTTCACATGCACATGCTCACAAATGATTCTACATTATTTTTCAAAACCAAGTACTCCATCACAAGCACCAAGCTTAGTCCATGTTCCTTCCAAATTGCAATTACCCATCATCAATGATCATATGCCACACAACGCAAGTCCGCCTGTATTATATGATTTGCCCATGTGATCTCATCCTGGATGAAACCTTCACCCATGCCTTACTCTATGACCGAACCTCAACTACTCATATGCATTTCTTTTAATCGTAATTTGCCAGTCACCAACTCAATTCTATTGCCTCCATATTGACAAAATTACCTTTCTTTCCTCCATGACCCAATGCCATCCTCTAGTCCATGACTACTATGACAACTGAACATCAAACAAGTCTCACTCTTCAGAGGGGCCTTGTAAGAACGTCCCTCATCCATAGTCCTCCTAGACTGATTCCTCCCTGCCACACATTTACTATGTATTTTCCTCGCCACAAAAATCATAACCCCTTGCATCTCAAGCCTACACCCCCCAACATAATGCCAAACCGCATTAAATATCCAACTACACCCACTAATGCCAAACTTATCACCTCATGCAACTTTGTATCTATCACGCAATCTCGCAAACCTTGCACCCCTTCTTGTCTGGACTTGCTCCCCTTTGCCCCAAATTGCCCGCCACAAACTCCCCCTAGTTGTCACCATGTATTGTTGCACTATGACGATAAACTCACTCCACTATTGAATGATGCTTGTGCTTTCATACTCATAGCCGCTACAATGCCCTACTTTTGATGCAGCTAATCTTTCGTAACCCTCAACATTTCTACTCCCACTCCTTCTCCTTGCCAACATGGGTTCTCTATCATGACCAAACTTCAACAATCAATCGTTGACTTCAAAAATTTTTACCCTACCCTATGATCTGATTTTTTTTATCTTATCAGTTCAAGCTACAATAATTCTAATAATGGTTATCATAAAGAATTTTTTCGATTTAAAACTAACATAAAAAGAACCTTATTCATATAGTCATTATGACTCTTATCATGAAACAAAATATGATTAATCCCATAGATCTAATTATTATGTTAATTGATCTCCTTGGTCATCACATAGTAAATGATGAAATGCTAGCCACTATGATAGTCGACCTCCTTCTCACTACTATTATAATCGATTAGCAAAATCTTCATTAGAACACAGTATGAGGATCATTGATCTCCATTATATCAACAATAATATCAACGACCTTTAAGTCATTCTACATCTTATTCAAATCACTCTAAATATGTCAATGAATAGAACCAACAAATAGTTGTACAAAGTAATGTAATGGTTGAAATTTAAAATGATAAATATTATCAAAAAAAAGGTATAACAAGAATTAGAATCAAAGGATTAAGCAAAGCCTTGACAAAATTGAATTGAACCAGCAGATAAATGATGTTAATTCTAGAGATAAGTATACTAAAATAAATGTTAATGATGAAAAAGAAGAAGAATAACATCATGTAGTTTATCGAATGATTGGGATCAATGCCTTGTAATAAAGAGATTCTTGTATCATATACTATGAAGAAGAATGATGTTGCCCCTAAGTCTACGGAAGTCTTCTATCGTTGTAATTGTTCCCTAACATTTATAGTGGAGATGTGTTTCTCCTCAACTATATATATTTTGGCCCCCTCCATCAAAGGTTGATTTTATATATCCATGCCTTCCACCAATAGATACTAACCTAGGTGTTCATAAACTACATTATACTATAAGGAGGAGTCCAGAATTTTCACGAGCTATTGAGATTGTTACACATGATACTGTTTAGTTCCCTATATTAAAGCTTACTTATTAAATAATACAAATTGACTGCAATATGCATATTTCCACCATTACCGCAACCATATTGAAATTAAATTGTTGTCTATATTTTTGAATTCATGCATGATGTATGTCAAAATCTAGCTTCTAAAACTTAAGAACCTCTATAGAAGATCAATCACTAAAAGCTATGTTTATCTTTATGACAAATAGATTATCGTGCATGTCTACTTCCGAGCTACTTATATAGAGACGGGAGCCTATCTCACAACTAAGTTCTCTATGAAAACAAGTCACACCCCAACTCTTTGAGGAAGAGTTCTTCATATCTCGGAGGAGTTGACGTAGGATACAATCAAGCAACGCATAATTATGTCATCACTAGCCTTATTTAGACCAATCAAAATTGAATGTATCAACACCTTTCTCATTAGGATTAATCATATAATAAAGATAAAATATATCATAACTTTATTAAGAAGATTATTTCATTAAAGGCTTATCTTTTATGAAATATCTATCAAAATTTCTTTTTATTTTTATTTTAAGTATTTTTCTTATTTAATTTTTTTTATTCATCAAAATCTCTATTATATTAAGGGGATGATTGTATGAAGACAATCATCCCATTAATATTGAATCATTCGCAAAACAATTTAGCTATTCTTCTCTCAATTCTTATCTTTTTTTGTTCTCTTTGGTTCTTGGAGCCCTCTTATTTTCACATGCCTTAGTTTGCATCAAAATTCCAAATCTTTGGTTTCCATCCAAGTAATTAAAAGTAAATAAGGGGCTTTGACTACTCGCCTTCAAACACTAATCAGAATTAACAATAGGCCCACATCATCAAGTTAAAAAAATCAAGTCGGGTATGACACAGCTATTCTTAGTGTGATTAGATAAGATAAACTTGGTCAAAGCAAGAGATGTTCGAAAGGAGTACCAAATAATTGAAAAGGAGGCCCAAGAGGTTATTTGTGTCATAAAGTCCTTATGCAAGCTCTCTTAGGTCATCAACTAGCCAAGAAGAAATCCAAAGTGGTCCATTTAGACGAACTTGGGGCATTGCACCCATAAGCTCCAAGGAGGCGACTAAGCATGGCCTAATTGACCTATTCGCAATAACTTGAAATGCGCATCATAGCAAAATCAAATAAGCTAAGTTAAATAAGACATAGGTTGGCATGGGAAAATGGCTTTTCAATACATAGTTAACTGGCTTCCATAGCATGCAAATGGGCACGCTAAATGATGGGCTTCCTAAAGTTGCAGATTATGTCTATCAACAATAACCCAACTAAGATGCATGCACAAACAAGAACTGAAGTGGGCTCTTCTCAGCAAAAGAGACACTTTTTCAGGAAAAAAACATAGAAGAAAATACAAGACTTTAAGGGTGAACTAGAACTAAATTTGATCTGAGATAGAGGAACATAGGCAGTAAAATTTGAGCTATACAACTCCAATTTTAGTAAATATCCAAGCCACCCACCCACTCTCTCCTCAAATTATCTGGTAGCATCTCTTTTCAACACAAAATAAATCGATTATATTGATCGCTCCAAACCAGTTTTGGACCAAACACACTGGATTTGATAGATAATACTGGTGTTTGAATAACACGATTATCTAAATAACATTGGATCAAACAACAAGAAAAAAATTCAAAACACAAAAGCATGTTAAAAGCACCAATTGTCAAGCATCCTATGTACTCCATAAAAACTTTCCATGTATCAATGAGGAAGGCATCCAAAAACATATTGGGCTGCAACAATTTTAAGCAGAGAGCATTTAACATCAAATGCAGCGGAAATCCTTACCTGGTCTCCCTTGAAATCATAGTACCGAAGCACCACATAATTGGTGGCACGAGAACTCGGAGGAATCACGTTAAAAGCGTTCTGTGACTGCAAGCTCCTCAAATCGATGCTGCTTGCCACAACGCCACACATAGAATCAATATTCAAGGTGGCCATTTAATAACAGATAAAAATAGCAGTGATAGTTAAGAAACCTGGTGCAGAGGAAGTAGGCCTTTACGGGGATAAACCGGCCCTGCTTCGCCTGCTGAGAACCTCGAGAAGGTGATCGTCATAGATTTCGTCCTCTGAGGCCGATTGCTGCTGCTGACGGTGGTGGTGGTTCTTCCAGTCAAATTCCTGACCAAGAGAAACAGACGAGAAGGCACTTACGTGGTCGAAGGCATATGGGCGGAAGAGGAAGAGACGGAGGATGAGAGGGCGGCGGCGATATGTAGGGCGGAGGGGGGATAAGGGAAAGAAGGGACGTTGTAGGTTGTATAAGGGGGTTAAAACAGGGGATAAGGTATGCAAGGAGCGGGTTTTCGTGAGCGCAGCGAAGGAGAATGGGAAAGAGCGGGACGAGGAGAGAATTGCCTTGAGATGTCTCTCCAGAGAGCGGGGCCACCACGCTTCCATGGGAATAGCACAGGGAAGAAGAAAATGATATCACATCGAGTAAGAACTTGAGAGGGTGCGACGGGAGAACTAAACGTAAGAGCGCAGGCGAAGTGGCAGGGAAGAAGCGAGCAAGTTTTTTTTCAAGCGAGAGAGCTTCTTGGTAAAAACTGCCAGGAAACCCGCAGCCATAACATTGAAATTTAAAAAAAAAAGGGAAATTTAGATACTTAGCACACAACTTTTATGTAATTATATCTCTCACAACTAAACTTTCATATTTAACTACATAACACTTTCTTGCTTTAAATCAATGCATGAAAAAATAATAATAAATATACTTATAAGAAATTAATAGATTTATATTAATTGGCTTGGTGAATAACTTTTGGTGTACTAAGGTTTTCTCTTCCCATTATGGCTCCCTTTTTTTTTCTTTTAACCTCTAATTATAACCCTGGCTAATGCTCTGATTGAAGACTTTGTTTTTCTCTATCGAGGCATCGGCTTGCTTTCTTCTTATGAATTCATCCTTCTTTTCTCCCCTCCTCATCAAGGCATCTTCTATTTTGGGAAAATGTAAACTTTCAACTAGAAATGTCATCTTCAGTATTTCCTTTATTCCATGTAACGAAGACGTAATTGTATTCTCGTATGAGGAAATTGATTTATGTTTGAAGCAATGGAATCTTGCCCTAGTGGGTTATGGGCTCGGCAAATTTTCTTTTTACGGTAACCTCCTTCAAGCCATCGAAAAAATCTAGAGCCTTCAAGGTATTATTGACCCTATTTCTCTTGTAGTGGATTTTTCCTCTTTAAGTTTACATTTGTTGATGATTTATATATGATTTTACTAGGTGTTCTATGGTTTATAAGTGAGAGGTGTTTTATTTTTTAGTAATGGATTCTAGATTATAAACCAATTAAAGAAGGTTTCAAAGATATTCCGATCAGGGTAAAACTACCTAACATGTTTCTTTGTTGTTGGACTGAAAATGAGATTTTTAAACTAGCCAACAAAATAAGCATTTTGTTGGTTGCAATCATCTTTCTGCAAAAAGAAGTCATCTTAATTTTGCTCATGGCAGTGTACAACTAAATACTACCACTATTCTCCCTGATTCTATCATTATTTTTGTGAAAGAAAATGATAATTGCAACATGCGAAATATTAATGGAAATCTAATCCATTTATGACGCATAATACATTTACACATGACATTACCTAATGCCCCAAATCTTCTTCCTTTAAACCTCCTCAAACCCTCATCCCTTGTCATGGTAGAATATAGAGTCGAACTTGCTCAAATCTCTCTACAGTTGGCTTCCATTCTTTCACCAGTTCTCAAGTCATTCTCAACCTCCCTCCAAACCCACCATGCACATCCCCTAATATGAATTTCTTGCCTCAACCACCTCTAACAGCACGGAGCCCTTAGTTGACGCACATAGTCTTACATCTCAACCCACTCATACTACCCCTCCTACCTCCTCTCCTAATGACAATAATAAATACAATTTTTTTTATAATTTTCAGCCTAATTCCTACTCTACCTTACCCTTCAGCATATTAGGTCATCTCTGTACTAATGACTCTATACCTTGCGCCTTCACTCAACCCAAGGGAAGCTCTTAATCTGAATAATGACTTATGTTCTATCTACATATTGGTGTTTGAAATATTTGCAGACTTAATGGTGATACTCATATAATTGACTATAAAAATTTTGTTAAAGAGCATGATCGAGGTCTTATGGTTGATTGAAATCAAATTCTCTAATTCCACTATGGTTGAACCCCTTTTTTACAATTAATAAATGATTTATGTTGAAGGTAGCACCAAGGACTTTTACAACGCCCCAAATGGTTGCATCTAGTTAAAATGAGATTCTTCTACTACCTCTTTCTCTGTACTATAATCACATGCTAAATACAATCATGGTTATTTAACTTTTTCTTTTCCTATTGACTTTTACGTCACTTTTTTGTATGCTGACAGCAATGTTACTATAAAGAAAGATTTATGGAATTATATTACCTCTCTTGCTAATAATTTGCATTATACTTAAGTTTTGTTAGGGGGATTTATTTTCATACATGATATTAGTGAAATGTTCGGTGGTTTCACGACCCCCCCCCCCCCCCCCCAAATTGCTAAATTTCAACTATTGTATTTACAACTATAGTTTAATGCATATTCCCTACACTGGTATTCAATTATTTGGTTTAATCAACATCTACATAACTCCATCAATTGTTTGTTGCATAGATTTCTTTGCAATGGCCATTAGGTGAATTCCTTCCCCTCTTCATACTACAAAGTGTTGGAACCATTAACTTATGATCATGCCTCCTATTCTTTTGCATTTGGACAGCAATTTTAACATGCTTGTAGGTTTTCTTATAGGAACTACTATAGCACATGCATTGAATTTCAAAAAATTATATTTATTCTTATGATTTTTTTATTCAGGATGATCTTATGTTTGTCCTCTACAATAAGTTAAATAACATCAAAGTTGCTCTCCAAGCTATTAAATGGAACTCTTTAAATTACATTAAAAACATTGTTACTCAACATAAATCACATTAAAATGAGAAATACCACAATTTTGACAGCCACCCTCTTTATGAAGATCTTCTCTCTCAAGTATTACTATTCATAATAAGCTTATTGAATAAAAATTATGAAAATAAATGGATCAAACAATAATTAAAATGTATTTGGCTTTCTAAAGGAGAAGATGATATTAAATTCTTATATCATGGAAAAAAGATTAGGAACAACATGAAATATATTAGAGAATTTTTGGTTAATCACTTTATTATGCACACTCAATAAGGCATTGCGAGAGAATATGTCGCTAAATTCTTTTCTCTTCATAATTATCTAGGTTCAGCCTCCTCTTATCCAAATATCTCTATTATTTGTAACATTTCTACTCTTGAACACAGTCAACTCTTTTATAAAATTAATGATGAAGAAATCAAATATGTTTCTTTTTAGCATTGGTTCAGAATAATCACCTGGTCTAGATGGCTTTACCTCAAAATTTTTTAAAGATACATGGTATTTCACGAGTTAAGCTTATATTCATGATATCAAACATTTTCTTGATGTTGATAAGCTTCCTAAAAAGATTAAGCACTCAGCTATCACACTTGTCTCCAAAGCCTCTCATGTTGAACCCCTTAACGACTAATTTTCTTGTGCAACACATTTATAAGAATATTGCCAAAATTCTTGTTGAAAGACTCAAACCATTACTTCCATCATTGAATCATCCAACTCAAGTTGTTTCAATTCTGATAAGGACAAGCAAATAATATTATTTTTGCGAATGAAATGCTTCATATGCTTAACTTTATTCCTCATATAAAAGATTACGCACTAAAATTGATCCCATTAAAGATTTTGATAATGTTAATTGCTCATTTATTTTTGAATGATTCAAACTTATTGGTTTTCCTAATGATTTTATTACTTCAATAGAGGCTTGCATCTCTCATGTTCCATTCCCTATTATAATCAACAAGAGCTCAAATGATATTTCTCCTCTTCTTCTGGCTTAAGGTAGGATTGTCTACTGTCACCCTATGTATTTACTATATTAATGAATATTTTCTTTAGACTTTTGTATTTGGACGGGCAACCTTATACTTAGCTCTCTTTTTTTGTTATTTTTCTAGTCTTTGGCAAAAATAATTTACAATTTATTAGAGGCTTTTTCAACACTCTCGCAACTTTTGATGATGTTACAAATAGTTTTGTGAATCTAAGAAAATCATTTATATGCTTCTCCGAAGTAGTTAATTGTCAGCTATCCTATCAAAGTATCAAATTAATTAGTTTTTTTTCATAAATCTCTTCCCTTAGATTATATTAGTATTATCATTAACCATTACTAATGTGACCGACTACTCAAAAATTATAGATAAAATTTAGCACTAGCTTGGAGATTAGAAGCCAAACTCTTATCATTTGTTAGTAGGTTTCAACTTGTCAAATCCATTATTTGGAGCAATATTTTTTATTAATTTCATTTAAAAATTATTTCTAAGGGTAAAGTAAAGATAATATCTACACCCATTAACAATTCCCTATATCATAATGTGATTGAATATAAAATGCGCACTATTGTTTGGGACACTACTGTTAAACCTAAAGATTGTGGAGGCCTTCAACTCTAATCATAATCATATGTAAGATTGAAATTCTCTGAAGACATTATAATTACAATTCTTAATTGTCTAATTGGTATCATAATAGGTATATATCGCTTTAGCATAATAACAATCATAAAAAATCCCCCTTTTAAAAAGCCTTATGTCAAACATGCACTAGATTAATGGGTAGTCTCTCTTTTCAAGTATGAAAGAGTAGTAATGTACTATTTTTATTTGACTTGATGCCTAATGGCTTTTCTCTATTTAAAAAATATGGACAATACGTTTTCTCTTGGTTAACCTATCTGATGTTCACTAAAATTGTTAAAATCATTGAAAACAATAAATTGGTTCTTCTCACTACTCAAGCTTCTTTGAAGAACTACATTTAACTCATTAATGGTATCGCCATTAGTGACAACCAGCATGCTTATGATTGTAAAGGGAATGATACTTTCTCCAACTATAAATTCCACACAAAATGATATAAAATTTTATCTAAATCTAATTGGTTTCATTCATTAAAGGCCCCTCATTCAAATTTGTTTCTATTTATTGGTAAATTTTGATTAGTGGATTGCAAACTAAAGAGGCATTATCTATTAAAGAGTTGGATGTTAATCACAAATGTGTTCTTTACATTGCCCATCATGAAGCTCACTCTCAACTCTTCTATATCTATTTGTTATCTCTTTTTCTTCTAAAAAAATGCATAACTGATGAAAGTATCTTTTATATCGAGTGTAGTATGGCTCAAACTCTACTATATGTTGATACAATTGATTGTTATATAGTTAAAAAGTTCTTCATTCTAGCTATTTATATAATAGCTAACGACATATTGCTTAATTAAGAAAAGAACTTCTAAGCAGATAAACACTCTTATATGATTATTTAAATAACAATATTTATTAGAAAATGATATTTGTAGAAAGTAAAAGATTTTTTTATGTTGGTGATATCAAATGATGATTTTCTACACCTAGAGACATTCTAACACCTATTCCAGGACAAG